ATCAGGTGTAAGGCATCATCAGAACAAAAAATCTTACCATAGTGAATGATGGGGGGAGTGCGGAGTGGAGATCCAAAGCCATCAACATTTTCAAAATATTTCTACTTGAACCCTTGGTATCAGCTCCTTTCCCCCCTCCCTACCCCACCCTGCCTCCCTCAAGAACCTTTGATAATTTATAAATTATTATTGTTTTGTCAATTTTACACTGTCCAATGTCTCCCTTCACCCACTTTTCTGTTGTCTGTCACCCAGACAGGGGGTTATATGTAGATCCTGGTGATTGGTTCCTCCTTTTGTACCCCACCTTCCCCTCCCGGTATTGCTACTCTCATTATTGGTCCTAAGGGGTTTATCTGTCCTGGATTCCCTGTGTTTCAAGTTCTTTTTTTTCCAATCATTTTATTGGGGGCTCATACAACTTGGCTTAGCTCTTAGCTTGCTTTCTTTGTTGGCCCAGAGGAAACCCCATCTACATTCTGAAAGGTTCATCTGGAAAGCAGAACCCAACAGCCAAAGTGACCAGCAAAGGTGCTGCGAGCCTCTCAGACCTATTTGTTACGTCAAGACCGGTCTTTGAAACGACTCTCTTTCTTTTTCAGATTAGTGACAATGAGCCGGGCTACGACCTAGATTTATTTTGTATCCCTAATCATTACGTGGAAGATTTGGAAAAGGTGTTTATTCCGCATGGACTAATTATGGACAGGTTAGTAAGATCTTAAGTTGCTTTCTTTAAAAAAAAAAAGTTTTGTTCTCTTAAATCAGGACTGTTTTTAAGTGAATATATGGACAGGCACTAGGCTAGCTTGTTAAAGAAAAGGTGATTTCTTAATTTTTAAGCCCTCCTGACAAGTAAAAAAAAGGGGGGGGGGGAAGCCTTGCTAAAATAACCACTAGACGTCATGATATAGTTGGCGTCTACAGGGAACCAAATAAAATAAATATTGAAGGGAGATGGGCAGAATGAACTTTGGTTCCAAAGGCTTTGATTTCTGAATTTGAAAAAGGGATTTGAACTCCCCTGGGGCTGCACGGGATTGCTTTGGAGTGTTGCGTTATCACTCGTGCCTAACTTGAAAGAAAGATTCCCCTCATGGATTCGTGGAATGGATGAAATGCAGTGCCTTGCGTGTCTTGTGGAAGCGACCACGGAGCAAGGGAAAGGTGTCTGCTTTCGCCTCCTGTACGTATGCACTCGGGAGCTGCCGTCTCTGCTGGGAACAGGTGCAGGCTGTTCCTCTGTAGCTGTCACTCGTGCCAGGAAAGGCTGCAGGCCATGTCAGTGATTTAAAAGCTGCACAGGCAGCAAGTGAAAGGCGCTTATGATTAATGGGTTGCCAGTAGGGGTTGCTTCAACCCTTTCAAAGCTAGGGCAGCTTGAGATAACATTAAACAACCAGAGAACAGGTTGTTCAAAAGCCGCTGCCCTCAGTAACCCCAGGCCTGCTGACTCACATGGGCACGGACAGGCATAATTGCTCTAAAATGGATTATAAACGTCCATGTGAGCACACCTGTAAATACCTCATGTATTTTAATGACTACACAGCACTCCCATTTGTGGATGTTCCCTACGTGATTTAACCGGCCCCTTAGTGATCGGCACTCACCATTTCCCATGACTACACTCAGACCACAATCAAGGGAGCATCCAGGCACATGTTTGAACATGCGTTTGACTTCATTGGGGAGGTAATTGGATGTTTTGATACTGGCAAATTTCCCCCGCTAACTCTTTTTGACAGTCGAGACTCCTAATGGTGTGTGGGAGTCTTCCTTTTCTTCCCAGCCTCTTCCAATAAACATGGATAACCTGAGAAAGGTCAATTCCACTGAATTTCTCAAGCTAATAGGTGAAAGTAGCCTCTTGTTTTATTTTGCATTTCAGTGTTTTATGATGAGTGCTACCCTGGATCTGGAGTTGAAAGAGTTCTGGTTTTTATCCTTGCTCTCTTAAGCGTGGCTATATACTGCACCGCAGGGAATGTAAAAAGATGGCTCTCATGTGGAAGCTTACTGCCAACTGGGATGTTGGCTATAAAGTGTACGTGTCAGACGATTTCTAGTAAATTCTTGATTTGATTTGCACAGGACTGAACGGCTGGCTCGAGACGTGATGAAGGAGATGGGAGGCCATCACATCGTGGCCCTCTGCGTGCTCAAAGGGGGCTATAAATTCTTTGCTGACCTGCTGGATTACATCAAAGCACTGAACAGAAATAGCGATAGATCCATTCCTATGACTGTAGATTTTATCAGACTGAAGAGCTACTGCGTAAGTATATTTAATCTTACATGCTTTAAAAAGCACCATACAGAAACACGACTATAGTTTTCCTGTATGTTTTCTGAAGCTCAGCAAACTAGTTACAGGTTCCTCTCACTTCTTTTTTTGGTCATTATTTTTTAAATCATTTTATTAGGGGCTCATACAACTCTTATCACAATCCATGCATACATCAATTGTGTAAAGCACATTTGTACATTCATTGCCCTCATTCTCAAAACATTTCCTCTCCACCTAAACCCCTGGCATCAGCTCATTTTTCCCCTCCCTCCCCATTCCCCTGTCCCTCAT